GCAACCAGGCGCTGCATCCTGGGGTGAAGGTAGAGCTGGGGCTGCCTCAGTGCTGAGTTTCGTGAGCCGTGGTAGGCACCTCCAGGGATCCTGTGGGAAGCAGGCTTGCCTGCAAGATGGCTATGAAAGGTGAAGTCTACCAAGGAAAAGTGTTTGGTGTCAGTCTGAGGGCAGAAGGAGCTGGGAATGGGTCTGCCTCACACAGGCTGAGTGTCGGTGGTGTTCGGTGTCACCCTGGCAATGACCTGTGGTGGTCCCACAGGCAATGGAGCCACTTGCCCCAGCAAATACTGGGTGCTGCCCCGGCATGCAGCAAAGAAGGCCAGGCACAGCCTGGGGAGGCTGGCGTGCAACCCCTGTAGCTATTGCAGTCATCCCATCCTGGTCCCCTACAGCCCCAAAGCCATCTGGGTGTCCTTCACCCTGCTGCTGTGACAAGGGTGGAGGCAGGTCTCTGCTCCCCTCCAGGGAGGGTGGTGAGTAGAACTGCAGCAGCCATGGTCCTTCATCCTGGGGGCTGCGACCCAGGGTAGTGCAGGAGATAAACAGGGCTCTGGCAGAGCAGCATCTGCCCCCCCTAGAAATCACTCATATGGCAGAAAAATCTTTGTACCAACTACATTAATACTGTATTTGAAGAGGTGAGACTTGTCTGGGTGAGAAAGGTAAGTCAAAGACCCATCACCATAAACTGGGGGTTGTTTCATTAGGATTCAGCTCTAATTCCAGATTTAACATCATCTATCCTGTGTCTGAGACCTGCTCTCCCATTGCAGCCGTCGCCTGCCCAGCGCTCAGCGCTCCAGACTGGGGACAGTTGAACTGCTCCCATCTCCATGAGGATTTTGCCTTTGGTTCCACATGTGCCTTCTCCTGCCAGACGGGGTTTGCGCTGATGGGGCTGGAAAGCCGTGAGTGCACGGCCATGGGGACCTGGACTGGGGACACCCCACGCTGTGAAGGTAGAGCTGCTGCTAGAGCTCAGGGTGTCACTGGCCTTGGGGTGACACTAGGATTTTCCCCAGCCTCTTGGACCAAGCAGATTAACTTTGCAGTCGACAGCCTCCACCTTGAAGTGTGTCTCTCTATCCCTGCAGCCACTGCCTGCCCAGTGCTCAGCGCTCCAGACTGGGGACAGCTGAACTGCTCCCACCTCCACGGGGACTTTGCCTTTGGCTCCACTTGTGCCTTCTCCTGGTTCTGATGGGCCCAGAGAACCGCGAGTGCACAGCCACAGGGACATGGACAGGGGACACCCCACGCTGTGAAGGTAGAGCTGCTGCTCAAGGTGCCACAGGCCTTGGGTTGACCCTGAGATGTTATTGGGTGTCGGTCCTCTCATGCTGAGAGTTTAGCCTTGCAGTCCTCAGGCTCCTACTGGAAGTGTCTCTCTATCCCACTGCAGCCATCACCTGCCCGGTGCTCAACGCTCCACACCAAGGAAAGCTGAACTGCTCCCACCTTCACAGAGCCTTCCCCTTTGGATCCACATGTGCCTTCTCCTGCCAGACGGGGTTTGCACTGATGGGGCTGGAAAGCCGTGAGTGCATGGCCATGGGGACCTGGACTGGGGACACCCCACGCTGTGAAGGTAGAGCTGCTGCTAGAGCTCAGGGTGTCACTGGCCTTGGGGTGACACTAGGATTTTCCCCAGCCTCTTGGACCAAGCAGATTAACTTTGCAGTCGACAGCCTCCACCTTGAAGTGTGTCTCTCTATCCCTGCAGCCACTGCCTGCCCAGTGCTCAGCGCTCCAGACTGGGGACAGCTGAACTGCTCCCACCTCCACGGGGACTTTGCCTTTGGTTCCACATGTGTCTTCTCCTGCCAGACGGGGTTTGCACTGATGGGATCAGAGAACCGCGAGTGCACAGCCATAGGGACCTGGACAGGGGAGCCCCCACGCTGTGAAGGTAGAGCTGTGGCTATTGCTCAGGGTCTCATTGGCCTTGGGGTGACAGTAGGCTGTTCCCCAGCCTCTTGGTCCCAGCAGTTTAGTCTCCCAGTCCCCAGGTTCTTACTGAAGTGTGCCTCTTGCCCTGCAGCCATCGTGTGCTAGGCGCTCCAGACTGGGGACAGTTGAACTGCTCCCACCTCCACAGGGATTTTGCCTTTGGTTCCACATGTGTCTTCTCCTGCCAGACGGGGTTTGCGCTGACAGGGTCAGAGAGCCGCGAGTGCACAGCCACAGGGACCTGGACGGGAGATGCCCCACGCTGTGAAGGTAGAGCTGTGGCTATTGCTCAGGGTCTCATTGGCTTTGGAGAGACAGTAGGCTGTTCCCCAGCCTCTTGGTCCCAGCAGTTTAGTCTCCCAGTCTCCAGGCTCCTTCTCTGAGTGTGTCTCTCCCATTGCAGCCATCGCCTGCCCAGTGCTTAGCACTCCAGACTGGGGACAGTTGAACTGCTCCCACCTCCACAGGGATTTTGCCTTTGGTTCCACATGTGTCTTCTCCTGCCAGACGGGGTTTGCGCTGACAGGGTCAGAGAGCCGCGAGTGCACAGCCACAGGGACATGGACTGGGGACACCCCACGCTGTGAAGGTAGAGCTGCTGCTCAGTGGTCATGGGCCTTGAGGTGACCATGGGATGTTCTCTGGTGTCTTGGTCCTCTCATTCCAACAGTTTAGCTTCCTAGTCCACAGGCTCCTAATTGAAGTGTGTCTCTTTGCCCTGTAGCCATTGCCTGCCCAGTGCTCAGCGCTCCAGACTGGGGACAGCTGAACTGCTCCCACCTCCACAGGGACTTTGCCTTTGGCTCCACTTGTGCCTTCTCCTGCCAGACGGGATTTGTGCTGATGGGGTCTGAGAGCCGCGAGTGCACAGCCACAGGGACATGGACAGGGGATGCCCCACACTGTGAAGGTAGAGCTGTGGCTGCTCAAGGTGTCACAGGCCTTGGGTTGACCCTGAGATGTTATTGGGTGTCTTAGTCCTCTCATCTTGACAGTCTTGTAGTCCCCAGGCTCCTGCTTGGAGTGTCTCTCTATCCCATTGCAGCCATCACATGCCCACAGCTCAGCGCTCCAGACCGGGGAGATCTAAACTGCTCCCATCTCCATGGGGATTTTACCTTCAACTCCAAGTGCACCTTCTCCTGCCAGACGGGGTTTGCACTAACAGGGCCAGAGAGCCACGAGTGCATGGCCACAGGGAGCTGGACGGGGAATGCCCCACGCTGTGAAGGTAGAGCTGCAGCTATTGCTCAGGGTGTCATTGGGCATGGGGTGACGGTAGGCTGTTCCCAGCATTTTAGTCTCCCAGTCCCCAAGCTCCTACTGAAGTGTGCCTCTTGCCCTGCAGCCATCGCCTGCCCAGTGCTCAGCGCTCCAGACTGGGGACAGCTGAACTGCTCCCACCTCCACGGGGACTTTGCCTTTGGCTCCACATGTGCCTTCTCCTGCCAGACGGGGTTTGTGCTGATGGGGTCAGAGAGCCGCGAGTGCACAGCCATGGGGACCTGGACTGGGGACACCCCACGATGCAAAGGTAGATTTTGTGGTCACACGTGTATCTGGAAGTGCTCAGTTGTAGCAGGCTGTTTTCCCTGGAATCCCCTTTCCCCAGTCCATGGCAGCTCATCCTTCTGGCTCCTCATCCCACCCTCATCAGTCCCATCCTGTTGATGCCACCACTGTGATTTGTCTCCAGCCATCAGCTGCCCGGTGCTGGACCCGCCCAGCCGGGGCCAGCTGAGCTGCTCTCACATGCACGGCAACTTCACGTACAACTCCACGTGCACCTTTTCCTGCGAGGAGGGGTCTGTTCGGATGGGAGCAGAGTTGCTGTTGTGTGCAGCCACGGGGAACTGGACCAGGTTTCCCCCAGTTTGTGCAGGTACGATGCGACTCCCCGCTCCTCTAGCACTGGGGGTGTCCAGCTTCCTGCAGCACATCTTGAATGCGGTGGGGGGCACCCCAGCAGCTTGGGTGCTGTCAAGTCCTGACGCTTTTCTAACCTGTGGGTCTGTTTCAGAGAACGGTGCCCCCTTCTTAAAGCAAATCCTGGCCTACAGCAGTGGTGCAGCTCTGGGGGTAGCTGGCATCGTGCTCTCGGGGACGCTCATTGCCCTCCTTGCCAAGCGGCTCAGCGACAGAGGTACAGAAACGCCTCCCACAGCCCACCAACACTTTGGCCAGGGGTCTTAAACCAGGGGGTTACAGAGTCCCGGAAAGGCTGGGATCATCAGAGGAGTTTAACAGTTTAACTGCCTCCATCTATGTCTTCCATTTGCTGCAAGTCGCTTTGGTCTGGCAGCACCTCCTTGGCAGTTTGTCCAGCTGGAAGTGTCAGCAGCCAGGTTTGGAGAGCAGAGCCAGGAAAACGCCCTTAATTGCGAAGGGGAAGGCAGCGATTGTTTCAGCTCCCCCTCCCCGCTCCATCCTGTGCTTGTCAAACTCAGTCCAATTTCAGATGCTGCTGCTGAAGCTTCTCAAGTCCTTCACTAAACTGATAATGGTTATTTCTTTTCTATCTGCACACCCCCTGTGGACATTATGACACTGTAATCAGAGGAGAAGAAGAAGCTCCTGAACCCCACCAGGTGAGAACTGTGCTCTGCAGGAGGGTGGCTCTGCCCTGTGCTCTGCAGTCTCCCCACTGTCACCCGCATCTGCGCCCTACGCGGCTGCTTTTATCCCCAGCGG